CTATAGATTAATGTATCGACAAAGTTCTCATACGAGGGTGGTAGAGAACACAACAGAATTATAGCCTGATCCTCATCCTCTATCTCTACATCAATATTATTTAAGTCCATGATGATACTGTTTACCTTGTCAAGATGGTCTTTCAGAGCCGAACTTTCGTGTATCTAAAGAATTAACAACCTCTTCTTTAGATACAAGCGGTTCGCAAGAGATTCTGTGGGACTTCAATTTCTTCCAGAACCCATCCGCCGTAGTCTCTCCAGCAACTTCTAGTAGAACCTCATTACTCAAGCTACACAACATAACTGTACTTTATGCTTTCTCCATAACCTCATCTTTGTCCTTAATCTTTTTTGGCAGTACATCCTTCCCCTTCAGTGCCTTGGATAACCAATGTTGAACCAACATAGCTTGCATCCTAACCTGCCACTGGTTGAAATCATTTCTACCGTTAAACTTCTCGATTTCCAGAAACTTGGACGCCATCCCTGCTTCAAACCAAAAGCTTTGATACCAGTTTGTTACGACAAACGCAACGAACCCAAGCAACAATCATGAAACATGATAGAATAGTAAACACACCACACACAAAGAATACAAAGATTTATACACAGTTCACTACGTCCACGATGGAGATCCGGCGAAAGTCTTCACTGTGTAAAATCGGAGATTACAAGTTTTATAAGCTTCTGTACCATTTTCAATGTCTCTCGATGTTGCACTCCAAACCCTAAGCGCCCTTATATATCGGGCTACATGATAATACTAATTAGGGTCCACTACTCAAAAGCAAAAACGGGTTGCAACGCGACCCAACACCAAATTCGGGCCACAGCATCACAGTTTCATCTTTGTCTACTATAACTATTCCTCAGAGTTGGAAAGAAGCTCTTGCAGATCCTAAGTTGAAAGAAGCAATAGCAGAAGTAATGAGAGCTTTAGGGAAGAATGGGATGTGGGAGCTCACTCCACTTCCAAATGACAAAAAATTGTTGGATGCAAGTTACTTGGAGGAGCAAGAAACAATCTGTAGTGGCTAGGTCGAGTGCAGAAGCAGAATACAGGATTATGGCTCATGGGTATGTGAACTCATGTGGATTTAGACGTTGATGAGTGATTTGGGTATTATAGATGATGGTCCCATAAGACTTTATTGTGACAATAAAATGGCCATTAGCATTGCACATAACCTGGCTCAACATAATAGAACGAAGCATATTGAGAGTGACAGGCATTTCATTAAAGAGAAGTTGAATGATGGAGTGATCTATATGCCCTTTGTGAAGTCAGAACAACTAGCTATTGTTTTCCTTAACAGGGCATGAAGCCGATGGCTTTTATTATTTTGATTTTGAGCCTCATCCCACGGTTTGCCATTCTTCCCTATCTCCGTTTAAATGGCACTATCGTCTTGGTCACCTATCACTTTCAGTTTTGCAGCGTCAAGTGTCGGGTCTTAGTCATATGTCATCTCTGTCTTGTGAGGCTTGTGAACTTAGCAAGCATCATCATGTGTTTTTAAAATCTAGGATTGATAATCGTGTGTTTAGTTCTTTTCAATTGATCTATTCATATGTATGGGTTCTAATAAGGCATACTTCCATTAATGGATTTCGCTATTTTGTGACTTTTGTGATGATCATTCTTGTATGATTTGATTGTTCTTAATGAAAGATCCATCAGAGTTATTTTCTATCTTCCAAATATTTCGCATGGAAGTGAAAACCCAATTTGGATGCTCAATCTGCGTCTTGCATTCTGATAATGCCAGAGAATATGTCTCAACTCCTTTTGATACTTATCTTCGTGATAAAGGCATTATTCATCAAACATCCTTTGTTTCCACCCCCACAATAAAATGGTGTGGCTGAATGTAAAAATCGACACCTATTGGAAGTGACTTGTGCTCTCTTATTTCACATACATGTCCCAAAACATTTTTGGAGTTATGATGTGCTTACTGCATGCTATCTCATTAACTGTGTTGAATGAAAAAACCCCTCACTCTGTTTTGTTTCCTAATTCTTCCTTGTTTTCTCTTACTCCTATAGTTTTTGGGTGTATTTGTTATGTTAACCTTGGACCTGGTTATGATAAACTTGATCCTCGTGCCACTAAGTGTGCCTTTTTCGGTTATTCTTGTTCCTAGAAGGGTTACCACTATAACAGTCCTGTCCTTCAACAATATTTCACTAGTGCAGATGTCTCTTTTTCTGAGTCTATTCCGTAATTTTCAGATAGTAGTCCTTTTCTTGATCTTACCCTTGAGACGCTCTATTCCTCTTTCTCTCCCATCATTATGCAACCACTCTAGTCTAACACAACCCATTGCTCCATTAAAGGTTTATACTCGGAGATCGAAGCCATCTGCTGCTATGCCCTATCAACCTTCTTTAGAGTCTTTGGATCTGACACCATCTGTTGCATTCGACTCTTTGCCTATTGTCCTTCGTAAAGGTACTAGGACTTGTGTCACTAATATTCCCATTGCTAATAATATTTCCTATAAATTCCTATCACCATCTTTCTCATGTTTTTCCTCCAAGTTGTCAGTTACTTTTGTTCCTAAGAACGTGATGCTCTATCTAATCCGAGTTGGCAAAAAGCAATGGAAGATGAAATGGATGTCTTACATCATAATGGAACATAGGATCTTGTTCCACTGCCTCCTAGGGCCAAGCCTGTTGGTTGTAAGAGGGTCTATACTATCAATTATCTTGTTGATGGTTTTATTGAGCGGTTAAAAGCTTGACTTGTTGCCAAGGGTTATACGCAAACCTATGGAGTTGATTATGATGAGACATTTTCCCCTGTTGCCATGATTTCTTCGATTCAGGCTTTACTTTCTCTTACTGCTAATCTTAATTGTCCTCTGTTTCAGTTAGATGTCAAAAATGCCTTCTTATGTGGCAACTTAGCTGAAGAGGTCTATATGGAGCAACCACCTAGGTTTGTTGCTCAGGGGGAGTATCGCTACACTGCTTGTCACCTAAAGAAGGCCCTGTATGGATTGAAAGAATCCCCAACAGCTTGGTTCGGAAAATTTTCCAAGGCAGCATTAGAATTTGGTCTTAGTAGGTGCCAGACAAATCCAGATCATTCGGTTTTTCACCAACATACTAGAGCAGGTTTCATTTTTCTCGTAGTGTATATGGATGACAAGTGATGACTTTGAGGGCATTGCTAAGTTGAAGTTGTTTCTACAGCATCAGTTTCATACTAAAGACTTCGATAAACTCAGATATTTCTTAGGCATTGAAGTTTCTAGATCTAAGAAAGGTATAAGTTTGTGGTAAAGGAAATATGTGTCGGACTTATTAGAAGAAACAAATCTGTGAGGTGTCAATTTAACTCCCAATTAGGTCAAATTTGAGTTGAATTTTATTGCCTTGAAGTCATCTTTCTAATGGCACTGACCTCACTCAAAAACTCCAACTACAAAAATAGTTATAGCAATTTTAGTGCAACCTGGTGTGCTGAAAATTGCTTCTTTATTAGATCTCTCTCTAGGAACTAGAACCTTGTTGGATGATTTAGGTAAGTACAAGGTCATTCTTGGTTTGCCTTTACAATGTCAAAAGTATGCTCACAGGTCCATTTCTGCCGTGTATTACAAGTTTTGGCATGCATTGATCATTTCTGGCTACCTCATGGGTAATATGGTAATTTCCAGTATGTATGAGTCCATTTAAAATTCATTGAGGGAGATGGTACATTGTCTCACAGACATCCGCACATGTTAATTCTGCCTAATTCAGAATTCACACAGTTTCTGATCATCAATGTTGGTATCTGTCCAGCATAAGGGTAGTTCTGTAATTTCCAGCATCTATGTTATCATTTTATATCTTCCTTGGATGATGCATTGAGGTTTTGAGCTCAGGAAGTTAAATTACAGTATGTGTATAGACGTCCTATTGATGTTCCTATGGATCCAAATACAAATCGTCCTGTTGATGTTCTTATAAATCCCAGTACAAAACTCTTGGTTGATGAGGGTATTTATTTTAGGACCCTAGTAGATACCGGGGACTTGGGAAATTGATTTATCTCACCATTACTTGGCCTGAGATCTCATATGCAGTTAGTCTCGTAAGTCAGTTTATGAGAACTCCTAGGGTGCCACATTGGAATGTTGTTCTACGAATTATTCGATATCTCAAGCGAGCTCCAGGTCTGAAGTAGTTGTATAGACCAAATGGATATCTCAGGGTGGAAGGTTTTACAAATGCTGATTGGGCTAGTTCTACCTCGTATAGGAGATCCACTACGGGATATTGCACCTTTGTGGGAGGTAATCTTGTTACTTGGAGAAGTAAGAAGCTGACAAAGTGGTAGCTTGGTGTAGTGCTGAAGCTGAGTACAGGGCAATGACCCATACCTCTAGTGAGTTGACATGGCTAGAACATTTTCTTGAGGAACTTGGTCTGAAAGTCAAAGCTCCTATTCCGTGTTCTATGATAACCAAACAGCTCTTCACATTGCCTCAAATCCTGTATTCCATGAGAGGACCAAGCATATCGAAGTCGATTGTCACTTTAAGATATTGAGTGGACACATTTCTACACCATTTGTTAAATCTGAAGATCAACTTGCTAACATGTTTACTAAAGCTCTAACTCATAATCAGTTGATGGTTATTTGTTCTAAGCTTGGATTATGTGATATATATACTTACCAGCTTGAGGGGGAGTGTTGGAATGTATATAGGTGTATTTTTTATTTCTTATAAGGGCGTGATGGTCTTTTTACTGTAACATTATTCTATCATATATATAGAAGTGAGAGGAGATCGTAACCCTTTCTGGAAAAATTCCCCAAACACAGTCTACTCTCTTTTCTTCTCTTTGAACACTAATTTCAACAAGTTTAAATTTATTTAATTAACTTCTAAACCTTACAAATTTGTTTCTTGGTGTTACTCTGTTTTCTAGTTTACAATTTTGTTCTGTTCAGTTCAGTTAAAGTCACATAATACATATTTATACGTTTACTTCTAGGGTTCTTTGGAGAAGTCTTTCGTGGCATTTGGAATGGAACCGATGTGGCCATCAAGGTTTTTTTGGAGCAAGATCTGACTGTTGAAAATATGGAGGATTTTTGTAATGAAATATCCATCCTCAGGTACGTTCTCTTTGGCATGTTGAAGTTCTTTGTTTCTCAATGCTATGTATGTGTATATAAATTTTGATATTTTTCTAACTTTATGCATTTTTTTTTTTTTTCTTTCTATTTTTCTCTTTTCCCCCTCCAGCCGTCTCCGACACCCAAATGGTACTCCTCTTCTCCTTTTTATCAAATTATACTTTTTGTTTTGTAATTTGTTCGTTTTTGAGTTTGGCGCATGTGATTGTTAATATAATACAACCTGGAATTGTAAATATAACAAGAACCCTCCACCCCCTAAAAAGAACAAAATAAATAAAAAAAATAAGAAAGAGATTGAGAAGCAAATCTGCAAATGAGGTACTGATGATACCGTTGATTTCCTCCTTTTGTTTTAAAGAGATCAATATTTAAAATTAAAGTAGTTAATGAAGAAGAAATTGTTGTGTTATTTTAATGTCACTGAACCAATGAATGCTCTCTCTTGCAGTTATCTTGTTTCTTGGTGCATGCACAAAGCCTCCACGCTTGTCAATGGTTACTGAGTACATGGAGATGGGATCCTTGTACTATTTGATCCATCTAAGCGGCCAGAAGAAGAAACTCAATTGGCGGAGGAGACTAAAAATGCTGCGGGATGTATGCAGGTGCGCGAAGCTGTGTGCAAATTCATTGATTTTCTTCCGTGTCTTAAAGGATATATATTGCTTTATGGAATACCAATTTTTTTTTTGTTTTTTTCTTCTCTATTTGGTAGTTATATGTCGTTATTTATGAGGGGTCAAACTTAAGTTGGTGATGTTTTCATTATCATCTATATCTCTATGTTCAAAGCAATCAGTTTTCTTCCTTTATTTATTTATTTATCTTTTTTATGATGAAAAAAGAAAGAGCCTTTTGAAAGTCTCAGATAGAGAATCGTGCAAGGTCCACTGACATAGACCTAAGAAAAAAGAGAAGAAGGGGGGTGGGGGTACAGTATAGCAGATAGTAAAAATCTTAACAGTTTTTTTACATGGAAAACCCTAGAAAGAGAAAAACCACAGGACCTAGTCCCCTAGGTTAAGAGACTCTACCCGAAGAATCCCCTACTTACCTCCTGACGTAGAAGATTCAAAACTTTTGCCCCGAAAAGTCTCCAGGCAACTGTTCCAGTCTTCAAAAACCTGCTTCTTTAGCAATTCAGTCTCGGCCACTAGTCATCCAGGTGTCAATCTGATTGTGGATTGAACAGTTGTGTTGAACTTCTCTTTGTACTACAAAGCTGAGGGTTGTCAATGCATATAAACTACACTCACCATGTAATGCAAATAAAAGAAAGTTGAGACGCACTCTCAAAAATTCGCTCTCAATTTGATATTCTGTATAGGTAAAGTGAAAAAACCAACCCTTGAACTATGACTCTTTTAGCAAGAAAACCCTAACTACAAATGTGGCAGAAAGCCCCCTGAACTTTACGTTCTGGGTGCAAATATTCCAGTCCGGCGATTGGCCGATTGTTTTTGACCAGTAAATCGTATATGCTTGTCACGTGACATCCAAATTTTAATTAAATGACCATACAACCCTTATGAAAGTTAAAAGACCATAGTACCCTTCTTATTACTGTTAGCAACCAAACATGCCCCTATTTCTCTTTCCAACATGAAACAATCTCCCTCCTCTCTCTCTCTCTCTGACCATTGAAACCTTCGGACAAAATCAAAGAGTCATACACGCAGCAGTGACGAATATGATGGTGACAAATTCCGACGGCGACAAGAAGAATCAACGCGACAACGGCAAAAGGCTCAACCAATTAGCGGTGGCTACGAGTGCTGTCATGGTGTTTGTACAGCGAGACTCACTGACGTGGCTGTTGCAGCAAAGTGGTTTCGGTGAAAGTTCTGTTATTTGGGTTTGAAGATTATGGGTTGAGAATTTTGCGTTTGCGATTAGGTTTGCTTGGTGATCGGCAACTACATATTTGGGTTTGAAGATAATGGGTTGAGAATTTTGCGTTTGCGATTAGGTTTGCTTGGTGATTGGCAACTACATATTCTTTGAGTTTTGCGAGTGGGTTTGCTACCCTAACTCTCTGTATCTCTCTATCTTTTATCTTTATCTGCCTATATATATATATATATCAATCAATCAATCATTCAATTTTGCGAAGTGGTATGCGTCTCTTTCTCTTTACACAGTCACATATATACTGTAATTTGCAAGCTTTATTTTATATTTTATTTTTTGATAAGTAAGAATATATTAGAAAGCAAGTGTTCAAAAGGGGCTCGCATCCCAAATACAAACACCTACGGGCCCAAGGATCCCAAAAAAGTCTACAAATTCATCAATTGAAGTACAATTTCTCCCCATCACCCAACTGAAAAGAGAACTAATAATATGAAGTTTCAAAAGCGCAATGGATGATTCCTTCGCTTCAAAAGATTTATTATTCTGCTCCTTCCAAATGCACCACCACACGCAACCGGGAACCGTTCTCTGAAAATCCCGGACATGGGCCCCCGCAGAACAACCTCTCCAAGTGTTGATCAAACCCCTCGAAGACCGAAGCATAACCCAATGGATTCCAAAAAGGCCAAAGATGATATTCCAACAGTCGCTACAGGACAATGTAAAAGTAGGCGATCCACTGACTCTCCGTCCCTTTTGCGAGCTTTATTGGGACACAAAACCAGGTCGGATCAGCGAATGATGGGAGAAGATGAAGTGGGTTGATCTCAGTCATCTTCTTCCACCTCTATTGCAATCTTAGTCGTTCAAGCTAAGCCACACCCATACCTCTCCAATGCTGCTTCTTCTTCTGAGCCGACTCGTTCGACTTCGATTTTCTCTTTCCACCCTGTTTCCATTTTGACCTTGTTTCTTCAAACCCATTAAAGCCTTTTGTGTTCTGATCATCACAAGACATGAGAATTAAAGTAGCCTTTAACAACCGATGAAGAAAATGGTTTTTAAGAGAGAGAAAGATGGGTTTGAGAGAGAGAATCCTATTGGGATGTTGAAGTTTTCTATCATTAATACTCTTTTTTGTTGGGTTCTTGGGAGAAATTGTAAATCCTTGGAGGAGATTGTAGATTTTTTGGAGGCTTTGAGGGTTTAGAGGTCCTTTTTGGCCTTGTATAGCTTTTGGGGGTTGCGTTCACCCCTTTGAACGCTTTTTATACAATCTTTACTTATCAAAGAGAGAGAGAGAGAGAGAGTTCTGTGCAGAGTGATTGTATGAGACTGAATGGAGGTGGTTGCTTAAGGAAGAGACAAGGCTGGTGAGGTGTCGATCTTTGAGTGGTTCCTTTTTATTGTGATCCACCACGCCATTTGGTAAAGTTTATAAATGCGAAGCAAGAGTGAAACGACGTCATTTTAAGTAAAGATAAAAATTTCCTTAAGGAATTCCGGTAATAGCAGTTGACTGGAGATATCTTCTCTGTCCTTAAATGCAACAATTCCATAGTTCAATGGGGTTATTTGTAGTTCGGGGGTGTTAGTTGCACTAGAGGCATAGTTCAAGGAGGTTTTTTGCACTTTACCCTTCTGTATATATGAGATCTGTCTAAGTCTGCCCTAGTATTATATTTACATGGAGAAAGATAGTCTAGAAAACTTGGGATTTTTCAGAGTTTAAAACTAAGTTCGAAAGTGCTATTAGCTCTATCGATCAAAATCGATGTCAATTGATCGACATCACTCCAAAAGGCTTTGATCGATACCTCAATGGATCGAAATCTTTTGAAGGCTTTTTACTTGGAAAATTTTCAGTAGAGAAGTTTCCAGAAACAAATTTCATGCAATTTTAAAGCAATTTAGGGTTTAAATCAAATTGAAATCATGAAAACTTAAGGTACCCTAGATATGCATGCATGAACCCTAATTTGGTGAGTGCATCAATGTTCCAATTTACCTTTATATCCTTGTAGACAAAGATTACCAAAATACCCTTGAATATAGCTTGAATTCCATCTTTGACCTTGGGAGATAACTAATACTAACTAGATTTAGAAATTCTAAGGCTAAAAATTCAAGTTTTGTTCTACGAAATTTGCCAACTTAAGTCCCATTGACCTAATAATGTACTCCTTTGACAATTTCGTAGCAATCAAATAAAATTTGTAACAATCTGACAATACTCTCAATATTCTGACAATCTCCTCCTCTGACAATTTAGTGACAAAACCAAATAAAATCTGCCAATACATCAGAAAAGAAAATATTAAAAAAAAAAATGCAATATTCTCTTTGAAAGATTTTCAAACTTGATTTGCAAACTTCAAATTGTCAATGAAAATAGGTTTATTTACGTCTTTTTACATGGTTTGACATGGTTGTGGGATTTGAATTTAGGGCAGGAAAGAGCAAATTGATTCTATTAGATTGGTTCTACTACGGTTTTTGATGCAGTTGGTTCTTTGACAGCTGACTAAGGGTGCAAGTTTCACCGCTTCTGATCTTTTGATGTGATTGGAATCCACCTTTGATGTGTTTTCTTGTGGTTTATCATTTGCATGCTTAAAGGAGTTTTGAAGGCTCGCTATCTGCCCCTTACTGGTTATCAACCATACTATCATGAGCCAATGGGGGGAGGGAGGGAGGAAGGGAGAGAGAGAGAGAACAACTATCAAAGCAAATATCTGTGAGGGTTTGAAGAATTATTGTCCAGGAAAAATTGAAATGTTGGAAGGAATGCTTTCCCTTCGTATTTGATCATGGGTGGGGTGGTGGATTGTGTTATTTGGATAATAAATAAGTACATTTGGGTCCTATTTTTGTAGGATGCTTTCATGGTTGGGAACCAGAAACAATGCTGCTGTTCTTTGAGAAGTTACAATGCATGCTTTTTCTTGGCAAGGAAGTCGATATAATGGTTACAACACATGTATTTACTTGAAAATACATTTTCTAGTGCTTTATCTTAAATTTGATAGTTCTAGAATCAGCAATAAAGCTTCCTGATTGGAGTATTTCCAGCTATAGGTATGCAACTCAAGATCATCTTAAAGTGGCTTTCTTTGTAGGATCACTCCTGTTTGACTCGGGTATGATAATGGATTGCCTGATTTGCAGGATTTAGTGATTTAGTATTCCATTAAATATGCAAAAGTAATGAAGAATCTATTGACCTCCTCTTGATGTATTTTAATTAATTACTCAAAAGCTTAGGCCTACCTTTTCTCTTTGATAAAGATCGAGTGGGTCGTGGGTAGTGCAAAGATCACTTGTGGACTGACCATCTTAAACCAAGTGATTGTTTAAGAGTGTTGGCAAAATCAACAATGAAGGTGTTTGTGATGTGGAACAAAATGTCTAGACATTTCCATGTTCATCAAAGTTATCTTGATATATTGATGAGAATAAAAATTGGAAGTGACTTACGTTGGCCTTAACGGCCGACTCGGCCCTTTTAAGCTGGCAAACTCACAATTCCTTCCATTTTTTCTCACTCTCTTCCCCCAACAGCCCTTTTCCACCTCTAAAACTCTTTCTAAACCCTATATCTACGAATCTAGTCTAAATTATGGGTTGGCCTAGATCTTGGATCAAATGACTCCAAGCTTTCAAATAATTGGTAAGTTTTTTATTATTTTCCCCCCAACATAATTCTAACATGAAATTATTTAACATTAGATTTATAAACTCTCTTTGTTGGTGACAAGTTTTCCTTGTGTCCAAGTTACAACTTCCGTTATAGGACATTTATTTATTTCGTATTTAAATATATTTGGAGAGTGATATATACAAACAAGTAAATGTTTACTGTCAATCGCAACCTAAAATACAATATTTAGGTTGATAGTCATGATAAATCACCTTTAAATATGTATCAAAATCCACTAAAAATCATTAACAAAGCTATATTTATTAGACTTTGAAGTATGAGTTTTGTATAGGCTCATTTAGATTCATATTGATTTCTAACTGACGATAGCTTTGTGTTGTCAATTAAAGGGGGTTGATGTGCCTACACCGGATGAAGATTGTCCATCGCGATGTAAAAAGCGCAAATTGTCTCGTTGATAAGCATTGGACAGTTAAAATTTGTGATTTTGGACTGTCAAGAATAATGAGAGACACCACCATGAGAGACTCCTCATCAGCCGGAACTCCAGAATGGATGGCTCCAGAACTTATTCGCAATGAACCATTCTCTGAGAAATGTGATATTTTCAGCCTAGGGGTGATTATGTGGGAGCTGTGTACTCTAAATAGACCATGGGATGGTGTACCACCGGAGCGGGTATGTTGACATATGGTTGTACCAGTTTCTTGCTTGTGTTCAATTCAGTAGGTTCTTTTAATGTTTGTTTGTTACGAGAGAGTGAAACTTTTATTTGACATTTGCTGAAAATAAGAGTGAAAAGCTTGTCTGTCATGCTCCTTACTATTTAGGTAGTTTATTCCGTTGCCAATGAAGGGTCACGGTTGGAGATTCCTGAAGGTCCCCTGGGCAGGCTCATTGCAGGTATACCAAATCATCTTTTTATGACTTGGGTGGGAAAAAAAATTGTTAAATCAACGTTATATTTTCATTTCTCTTAGAAATAAATTTTGTCGCACCTCATGCCTTCTCTCATGTCTCGGTTGCAGATTGCTGGGCAGAACCGCATGAACGACCTACTTGTGAACAGATACTCACCCGCTTGCTAGACTGCGAGTACTCTCTCTGTTAAAGTAATCTGTTGTTGTATAGAAAACTACATAGTAGAGGTGTTACATTGTCTTCTCGGCTCAAGTTGTAAACTTTTGTACAATTTTTCCAGTTCGAAAAACATAATACTGATTCTTCTTCATTTTCAAATGGCAAATTTGTGATCTTTTTGTGCAATCAAAAGCAAAATTCAGTTTTAGTAGATTCATTTCTTTATATGTTGGGACTCGCACTAAACACAGCTCTTATATTATAAAAGGACAAAATGTCAAAGAACTTTGATTCTCAAAAATCATACAAGCCTGGTCAGGTGGAATTTCTTGCATTACTATAATCGAAATTTTAGGTTTTTACCAGGACAGAGTGCTAACTTATCTCAATCAGAGATCTGACGCCTATTCAACGATTCTTCAAAGCGACTACATGAGTCCACTCTCATCTCTGTACTCATATCATTCTCGGGCGCTGGATAGTAATCTTCTCTCAACTGTACATCCCTAAGATTCGGAATTCTTAGAAGGAAATTCATGAAATGTTCATGAGCTGTCCCGTGAATGAAAAGCTTCCTCAGCGTTGCACATTCTGCAAGCAAGCCTGCTGCCGGAAGTGAGAGACTCCTCTGGTTGACATCCCTGTCTTGTGGCGGCCAATAATCGAGTTCATTCAGATTCAAATTTCCAATCCCAAACAGGTAGAACCGCTCCCAGAGGCTCAGGTCCATCTGCCCAAATGGTGCAGTGTGGGCATAACCTATTGTGTCTCCGCAATCCAAATGCATCTTTGATAGCCGAGGAAAACAAGTGAGGGAGCTTAAACCAAATGCAAATGCACGCTCTGAAGGTCTCGACCATTCCCTACAATCTCCTTCAACCCTAATTCGAATCTCCTCCAGATTAGGGCAATTCTCGAGACCTATTGTTTGCAGCGGAGTCAAAAGCTCTCCAACAGCAATCCAGAGTGAAAGATATCGCAGGCTGTCCCATGTCTTGTGACAATATCCATGCCCGTTGCCATTGCTTTGTATACGGGAGGAACAACTCAGATCATCAGCATACTTGCATTTCTTCTTCCTTTTGCAGATTTCCTCATAGTCTCTACTTTGAAAGAAATTTGCAGATTCCACTGTCTGTTTCGAATTCCTCTCCTCTTCCGGTTCATTGAGATCAAAATTGTATTCAACCCTACCAAAATTCTCCAACTGTTCGACGCTATCCCAAACACAATCTATATGTATCCTCTGAATACGATCCTGAATTGGCTCCAGAGCTTTTATAGAAGATGCTGCACCAAGATTATTGCAGCAAGAAATCTTGACATCCACCAAAGTCCGACGAAGCAAACAGGCCAACGTCCTCATTCCTCTCATCGTAATCTTCTTGCACCCCTCAACTTCAAACTTTGCCAACCTTGAACACCCTCTAGCAATGGCTATCAATCCCATATCAGTCAAGTCTGCCGAGTTCTTAATCGACAAAGCTTCAATCCCTTGACAAAGGGCAATGCCATCCAGCCGAGAATCAATCGTGGTACACAACCCATGAAACTGTCCCAGCTTAAGCGATCTCAGCTTGGGACACTTCAAATTCAGCATCTCCAAAGCTGGTCCACTGTTCTTGACATTCTTACAAACATCCAGAGTAAGCTCTTCGAGCAATGGCAAACCCGAAAACAGCTCCACCAGAGTAGCAACACTGATCACAGAGTCCTCCTGAGCAAACCCTTCATCATTCGGATCACCCCTCGCGTTCAACAGAGCCGACGAATCCACCAAATGAAGCAGACACAGTTTCGGACAATTAGCAGCAATGGACAGCAAAGCTTCATCATTCACAAACCCAATGTATCTAGAGTCAAACATGCAAGCTATTTTCAACTCATTCAGATTAGGGCAAGCTTCCGTGATTGCTCTGATCTCCACAGACTTGAAACCCTCCGCGAAAGAGGGATTAAGCAGATCTAGCTTCGTGAGGTTGGATGCGAGATTGGGAAAGGATTGGAGCGCCGGAGCAATATCGTCGGTCCAGCAATAGAAGGAGGAGAGATCGAGAGAACACAGAGCAGAGCAGTGTTGGAAGAGAGGAGCGAATTCGTCTCCGGGAGGCAATTGAGGCCTCTGGTGCCATCGGACGAGCTTGATGTGATTCAATTGCGGCCATTGCGGGACCAGGAGTTGCAGAGTGTTAGGGTTTCGAGAGTAGAGAGTGAGGGAGGTGAGGTTGGGGAAGGAGGTGGAGAGGAGGTAGGGATCGGGGAGGAGAGAGTGACCCCAAGGAGAGAGGAGAGAGAGGTCGAGGAGAGTGACGGATCGGAAGCAGTTCGGAAGGGAGAAGAGGTTGCGGACGTTGCCGCGGAGGGTGAGGGAGGTGCGGGTGGCGCGCTCCAGGACCAGCCACTTGACGCAGACGAGTGCTGCGGCGTTGCGGCTGCGGGTGTCGGAGACGGCGGCGATTATGTTGGAGAGGATCACGTCGGGGAGGTCGTTGATGGTGGTGGTGGTGGTGGCGGAGGAAGGTCCAGGTCCAGGTCCAGGTCCAGGTCCGGCCATGTAGGTCAGGTCAGGTCAGGTTAGTAACTCTCACGGGTCTCTGGTGATGTTTGTTGTTTGTACTTTGTATATCTTTTTCTTATGGTGTATTGGTGTGTTTCTAGAGAGAGAGAGAGAGGAGAGAGAGAGAGAGAGGATGGGGATGAGTACAGTGATGGGGTACTGAGGGATTTGTCGACGTATGCTCAAATCTGTACTATGTAGGAAATGATGGTCTAGGCTTCCCACACGCGCTTGTGAAGTGCGTGGGTCTTTTGTTGAGATGAGAAATTTTAATCCATTTGTGTATGTAGGTACACAGTAATTTAAAGACGAATTTGGAATGATCCAGATTTTTTTTGACTTTTAGACGCATATAATGATTCTTCTTTAGATGTTCCGTGTTTGGTTGGAAATAAACGGAAGGGAAAGAAATGGAGGAGATGGGTGAAGGTATTGGGTGTGCCCGCGCACAATCAAGCTCGAGTAATACTTATTGTGTGCGTGTTGGGTATGTACACTTCGGATGAATAGGTACATCGTGCACCGTGCATTTGGCATACCAAATTTCTCTATTCAAGAAATGGAGAGATATGATATTTAGAGTTTCCTATAAAACTTAGGATGGAATAGAAAAGAATGGAATGATTTGGAGAGACACAATAAAATTTTTTTCCTGACAAATGGTGGGGAAAATTCAAATACGAAAACACTCGCTTAGGAGTTAAGCATTCTAATAAGGTCACTAGATAATGTCCAAGATTTATTAAAGTTTGATAAGTTGATTTTATTATCCTCCTAAAATAGGAGGAAGACTAATACTTTTAATGATTTGTTTTTTAATACTAAATTTGTGCTTCTTTTTAGTAAATTTATTAAAGATAATTGGTTAACACTATCATTGCCTCTTCTTACTTTATTTTCTATGTGCTACTAATATTTATCATTTTATTTATTTATTTTTTCATTATAACAAATTTGTGCACTTATCTCCGGGATAAGTTTAACTCTCTATAAATTATTGATCGGGAATTGCACCAATAATAAATGAATTATATTTGAATTTACACATGTAATAGAAAAACTAATATTTTTATATCACACGATACAAACATGACCCATAAATTCCATTTGTTCCGGACTCTCTTTCGATATTTAGTAGATAATTGTCTATATTATAAATATAAAATAAGAAATGATACACTTGAGAGAAAAGTAATGCTATCTAGGTTGCCCTCTCATAACAAAAGTCTTGAATTATTTTAATAGTCTTACCTTAATATATGGAGTATATATATATATATATATCTTGAAAGTGAAATAAAAAAAAGGTAGATCTCTATACAAATTAATTAAAAAGGAGAATCCAAAGGCAAAACACCCACTAATACACTGGAAAAAGGTACAAGTTGGAAGCAAAATTTTCTTTTTATCCCTCAAAAAAGTCTTGCACTTCGATTATGACATAAATATGGTGCAAACTTGATCTTCGAGAATATCTATTGTAATGTAAATCAAAAGGAATAATTTTTAATATTTCTTAATTATCAACTTGTTTTCCTTTTCTAAGTGGTTATAACTGATACTTATTAGTTCTAGAATTTGTGGTAAAGAATATGTTCCACCGAGGAAACTATAATATATATATATATACACACACACATAAAAGCTGTAGAAGATTTTTGTTCAGTTCTCACTTTATCTGAACAAAATGATCGTGTTGGATTTTTTTATTTTTTTATTTTTTATACAGTAGTGTGTAATAACTGTGAGAGTTGTACAAACATAAAAGTGGTTGTCAAAAACATCTCAATTACCTGGTTAACCTCATTTCAGTGTCACCCTACGCCTCTTTGAAATAGCCAGGAACACTGACATAGGCCAATTGAAAGGGTTGTCAGGGTTTTTAAGCGGTGATTGTGGCAATTTTGTAGGTGGGTGTGTATGAGTGAGTGGATGCGAGTCATTGTCAAACTATCATACTGATAGATTATAGGTTCACGATCCCACATTACTTAGATAATATGAAGGTAAAGTTTTTATGTATAGTAGTTTTATTTCTAAACGGTACTAGATATTTTGAAAATAAAATTTAAGAACAAAACTATGTAGATTGCGCTGTTAGACTCCCAATAAAAAGTAGTCTTGTATAATATATTGACTGAAAACAACATTGTATGTGAATATTGATTCAAGATTCACTCAAATCATGTTTGAAAATTTTTAGAACATGCATTTTAGAACCTTTTAGATTTAGAAAATCTTAAACTCTTACAAGTTTTGACACCTCAAAATATATTCATTAATTAAAAACAAATTAAGTATCCTCAAACAGTTAGGGCCCGTTTGGCATGTGCTTTGTTTTTGGCGTTTTGTTTTTAGCTAAAACGGAAATAGTGTTTTTGCTGTAGGAGTGTTTTGGAAAAAATTCGGAAGCTCGTTTGGGAACGATGTTTTGCTGTGGAAATGTCGAAAGCAAAAACATGCAAAACATGTTTGGTAAGTCATGCGTTTCAAAATTTTTAAAAACAAAACATGTTTGGTCAGTCCAACTGTTGTAAAAAAAAAATAATAATAAAAAAAAAATAAAATAAAAAAACAGAAATAAAAAAACATGTTTGGTTATCCTTGTTTTTTATTTGTTTTTATAAATTTTATGTATATTTATAAATAGTTATCATATTTTTAATAGATATGGAGAAAGTTGAACCCACAAACATGTATATATATATATATATATATATTTTCAATAACCTATTTACAAGTTGTTTGCAATAACTCACCTCAATTTTATTATTATTATACATGTATAGTCCAACACAACATTAAAAATAAAAACATTTCTAGTCACATTTTACTATACTACATGAGAGTCAACATTTGTAAAAAAAATTAGCAATAACCTATTTACAAGTTCTTTGCAATAATCTGCTTCAATTTTATTATCCTGTTACCTGTATAGTCCAACACAATATTAAAATAAAAACAAACCCAACTGAAAGCATAATTGAAATAGAGTGTATACCATTTACAAGTCTTTAAATATTCAACCAACAAATTAAACAAGTTTAAGTTGTACATAAAATGTTTGGAACAAAGCATTAACAATACATAGTTGTCAGTAAAAATTGATAAGAAGTTCATAAAGTGGATGACAATGGCAACGATACATCATCTTCATAACAGCACATGTGGCCTTTAAGAGAGCATCAACACACTTCATATCTGCAATAATAGCATTTAAGTTGAATTATATATCTGCAAAAATGATTTATATTACATATATATATTACAAGCTTACAATAGCAACAAATATATGACATATAAAAGAAAAAATATACCATCACTTTCAGAAGGATCAAAAGTGCTAAAGAGAATTCCAAATTCAATCAGCAATAGTATTACGCAACTGATCCATTTCTCGAAGCTGAGCCGAAGGCACATGCTCAACAATCTCATCATCTTCACCATCACTTTGAGGAGGATCGTTACTATCAAATAAATCATCAGGCTGATGCTGATTTATGATGAAATTGTGTAATGTGCAACAAGCCATTACAATCAATACTTGTGTTGAAAACTTATAAGGAGGCATTGCCCTCAAAATAGCGAATCTTATCTTCAACAACCCAAAGCATCGATCAATTATATTTCTCAAAGATGAATGCCTATGATTGAACACTTCCTCCCGACCACGAGGTTGTCTAGTCCTACGATATTCCTGAAAGTGGTAAGTATGACCTCGAAATAGGGCCAAATAACCAGGCTTGTTGGCATATCATGAGTCTACCAAATAATACTTACCTGCCATGTTTAAAATACATAAAGATATATACAGTAAGATAAACTAACCATATATTAAGTGAATTTGTAAGATAATATTACCTGCTGGTGGAGCTGGAAAGTTCATTGCCTCATTCTCAATACACTCCTTTAGGATTCTCAAATCATTAGCGGAGCCTTCCCACCCAGCTAGCACATATGTGAATCTCATGTCAAAGTCACATACAGCCATTACATTTTGTGTGGTATAACCCTTTCTACCACGAAATGGAAGTTGTGTACTTGCTGGCAGAGTTGCAGGAATGTGGGTTCCATCTATAGCTCCTACGCAATTCTTGAAGTAAGGGAAAAACCTAGAAGACTCCCTAATCTTATTCGGAATCACAGAAAAATCAGGAGGGGCAATGATATGGGTGCCCAACTGACATACTACATGTAACACAGCATGGAAGTGTCTGGAAATGGTTTCAGTGGAGTGTTGAAATCTCTCAGCTACAACACGATTCCTTTGATTATGAGATAAAGTGAGCAAAAAGATTGCCACTTGTTCATAAACAGTTAAAAATTTAGAATCTTTCAGCCCTATACCTTTCAGGGTACTACACAATATTCTAAAAACTTCAGGGTACATCCTAAAATTTTCATAACATCTTTCTTTGTGGCTGTTTAAAATCTCCATAACATACATTTCCCCTTGTAAAATGGAATCCCTACAACGCCTCTTTTGATAGAAGTTCTGCTCTTCTAAAAGAGTAGCAAATATTAAGACACTCTCATTGTCCTCCTCATCGTCATAAAATTGAATTATTCTTCTTATATGGTTCCACATATCCATTGCCCTATTTAAAGATTTAATAGAAGCAAAGCATTTAAGTTAATAAGCAAAACAATTAAATAATAAACAAAATATTTAAATAATAAACAAAGCATTTGAGTTAATAAGCTTAACATTTAAGTAATAAATAAAATATTTAAGTTAATAAGCAAAACATTTAACTTAATAAGAAAAACATTTAAATAATAGCAGTACAGTCATCCAAGAAATAAAAGTATTTAGTTATTACAGTCATCATAATGTGAGATAGTAATAAGTTCAACAAACAACAAAACACAATCATCCATAAAGAAAGACTCAAACATTTAGTGCCCAACCAATTCTTATCTCCTCAGGAGAACTGAGAAAAAATTTCTGCCACTTCTCAGAATCATGTAACAACTTCGATACCTTAGCAAATTGGGCCATCTCAATTCCAGGTATTTTTTGTAAAAGGAGCATGCAGGCTTCAAACATTTCATCATCTTTATCCTTTTTAGAGGGAGAGAGAACTTCATCATCTCCTTTCTCACATGAAGATACACGAGTAGAAGTAGAAGATGCTTTAATTGCTTTCTCTATTGCAGCTTCCATTCTCTCAGTTCTCCTCGCAGAATTCTCATCCATACCTGACAAGAGTGCAGCTATACTGGGAGATAAACTATCTCTTTTGGCTTTCTTACTTTTACGTAAAGGTGGGGGACTGACATGACAACCCTCTTCCTCATCATCGTCATCATTGGGAGTGGGCAAAATGATTGTGGGGGGTGCTGTAGTGGAGGGGTGGGCATGCATTCCTGTTGCATATGTGTCCCCAAATATAGTCGACATCTTGTTAAAATGCTTATATCCATGTCTACGAAACTTATTTGTACCCTTAATAACCTACAAAATTTTGTTACAATGTTAACCTCATAACAAATAATATACGATATTTTATTATTTATTTAGGACTAATAATTAAATTACTAACCTTGCTCAACCTGCCCCATCTCTCTTCCTCAACTATAACCATGCCCGTCTCATGGTTATATCCCACGCCAGTCTCCAATAACAATTTCTTAAACTCGATATAAATTGTCCTTAATTGGTTAAACTTATTCCGAAGTTGGGTTTTGTCAAATTTTATCCCTGTTTGAACCTTCATTTCTTTTACCATGGTAGTTCAACCTTTTGGATTAAATGTTGTGTCAGTACGATTGCCAGCCCTAACTTGTTCCTCCATAATATTACAGAATTTTTCCATAAGTGAGTCATCCCATAACACTTTTCCATCTTTCGTAACTTCAGCCACCCCTTCTTCTTCAATTGTCAGGTATTCACCACATTGTTCCACATTCTCAACATTGATATCCATCTAACAGATTAATAACAACACTATAATTAATAACAACAAAAATAATATATATTACTTCAATAACTCATGCTATTATTTAATAACTTATACTATTACTTCAATAACTCAAAGCCCTATAAGTTGTTCCATTATTCAATGAATGATTTATAGCTGTCTTATTTCAGGTTAGTTTTACATTAATATATATTATTTTGGTCTGATTTATAATCCTTAAAATGTTTAGAATATTCATGATAGTCAAAGTTTACAACTATTGATCCTCGTAAACATAAGAAAAATCAGTAGAGCCTATAGATACCTATGTATTATTACTTTTCTAGGGAATTAATTTATAAGAATTCATAATTCTCTTATTTGTGATACAATCTTACCTTAGGACTTAGGAGCATGGGCTCATTTTTCCATTATATGCTCAAGGATTGTGAAATACTTTTAATCTTACAATCCTACCTAAATATAGTCAGTAATCTATATAAAAAATCTTTTATATCTTGTTTTATATTAAAGGGCATACTATGACTTACTTTTCAAATATAAAAATAATTAAAATTTATATAAAAAATTTCATAATTTTATTTTCATACTACTGGTTAGATTTCAAATCCTGCAAGTTAAACTTCAGTTGTCCACCCTTGCTTAGGAGGTGATTCCTAAGAATTTATAGGTGGGATTCCATTCTTCTTCTTCTTGATAGGCGGCCCCCTTGTTTTGCACTAAAACCCTACTCTACCAAGCACAAATCAACTGTAAGCAACTAACTCTGTGCAGTTCTTGCAACCAACCACTTTATAAAAGTGATAACTTATAACTAAGCCAAATCCAACCCTTTCCATATACAAATCTTACACCCTATATTCTGCTCTCCCAAACCCTTCTTTACACAAGCTTTCAACATCCTTACTAAATGATCCTACTTTTTTGTTCAAGTTCCTAAATTATACAAATCACGAATAACATTGACTTGCAAATTGAACTCAGAAATTTAAAGCATAAAGTGATTTCTGTGAAGGGAACTTTTGGTTCAGTGACAGTGTATAAATCAGATTGAAGATCCAATCACTTTTTATTATTATTATTATTATTATTATTGTTATTATTATTATTATTTTTGGTAAATCAAACATCTCATGTCATTTTGTAATTGTGGCTCGAATTTTATGTTATGACAAATTTCGATAAATTACAAACACAATCAAGAATCGACAGAAAATATAGAATCATGGATTACACAACATACAAAAATTTTCGAAAAAACTTTAGATGCTATTTTCCAGTCTCTAAAAGCTTCTTTTGACGTTTTCCCTCATCAATGCCAGGGGAGTGGATTTGAACAAGAGATGAATGAAGTTTCAACCCAACAATTCAAAAACTGAAATATTCAAACAAAAAAAGTTCAAACCTGTTGAGATCGTCGAAAATAGCAGCAAAGGAAAGCAGATCTCGGCAGAAAATAGCAGTCCTTTGATGTTGCCAAGAATCGCCAAGGACGCCAGACCAAAATCGCAGCAAACCAACCCTAGAATTGTTTCAAGTTTTCCTTTTATACCTCCTTCGATTTGCTTCCTCCGCCACAGTTAAATAAGGATTTGCTTCTTCCGCTACAGTGCAAATACAACCGGAAGCGACAAAAAACACCAAAATGGTGTTTCATCTTTTGAGCCAAAAATTGATTCTGTTTTGCAACTGTTCAAAATGCAACAAGCCCAACCAAACATGTTTTGGGTTTCAAATGGGCTACTGTATCAGGCCAAAAACAAAACAAAACACTTGCCAAACAGGGCCTTAGCTAGTGTGTTCCAAGTTGATATTGATGAATATCATTCCAATTATGAACCTTTATAACACAAATACTCAAAACAAAATTACAATTCAATGTCATTTTAGACACATATTTTGCCATCGCACAATACGATTTTTAACAATTAGGATAATATAATGACTCTCAATTCTCTTAATCTCACTATATACATATATATATATACACACACACACACACACACACACACATGGTAAAACTGCTATTCATGCAATCCATGAATTAAAATAGTAGTCTTTCATATTTTTGGAAAAAAACTTACATTGTGAATGCTAAAAGGGTAGTAGCAACTTCAATCTTAGATCTATGAGTTTCGCAATGATTATTTACAAGATTTAAGAACTGAGCTTGCATGGCCGTAAATGTACTTGGCACAACTAATTTCATACTTGGTGAGATTTGGGTATATGATTGATACACTAAATGAAAACTAATATTGAAAAAGAACTTTAATTCTGTAACCACCTTCTACTCCGAAAGTTTAAGCATATCCCCTCACGTCACGGACAGACCAGAACATATATGAGAGGAGGCAACCTTTAACAAAAAAAAAAAAAAAAATTTGTGGAGGGCAATAGTAGAGTGTTTTTTTCTAGTTTATATGGGGCAAACTCATAATTTTGTAAGTATATAATTCAAAAAAGCAATATTAGTAGGTAAAATAGCAAAAATCATCATAGATATGTGCCTACCTCACGTGTTCCCTTCTTTTGACAGTGAGATTTGATTTGACTCTAATATTATATTAATCACCATCTATTCTAATTGCCCCCACTAAGCCTATCATAAATCCGTGCCTACCTCACGTGTTGGCTTCTTTTGACAGTGAAAGATATGTGCCTACCTCACGTGTTGCCTTCTTTTAATGGTGAGATTTGAACATAAGACCGTTTGACTCTGATACTATATTAATCATAATCTATCCTAATTGCCCCCACTAAGTCTGTTATAGATCTATACCTGTCTCACGTTTTGCCTTCTTTTGAGAGTGAAATTTGAACGTATGATACTATATTAGTCACCATTACTCTAAAAAGCAATGAGAGAATGTGTAAGTATAATATTTACATCCTATAATACATCTTACTTATACAATAAAGGATCCAACCTCTCAAAAAAGAGGGTGGCTAATAGCAAGCAAATCATGCCATTTGTGCCGGCCTCCACAAGTCGTAGTCATTGTCGCGCCGCGTCCGCAGGTTGATGAGTATCATCCACTCGGCTGGCACACAGGTTTTGGAGGTACCATTAAAGCCCTCAAAAAGATTTTCTAATCGAACTTTTTACATACACTCACCCACCCCACACTATTTTGCGTGTGGACAAGAAAATTATTGGGATTCCAGTGAACAGAAGTACAATAGAAATCATGCTATGTGTACCAAGTGGAAATAGATTATGTATTTTTAGTTAAAAAAAGGAATACACCATGTGGAGTTTGTGCAACAAGCACTTGAAGCATTTTTTAACAAGCACTTCAAAATCACCCGCCCAAAACGCCTTATTTCACTGTCATCCGACTTCAATATCTTCTAATGACTATTTAGAGCCCGGAAAAAAAGTTTTCTCCACTCTCTCACTAGATGTCGTTTTTCTAACGGTAATATTAATGACATTTCCTTAACTGAGTATCTAACGGTAATATTAACGACATCTTCCTAACATATTCTTGTCATCGCCAATTCAACAAATGAAAAAAGA